AAAAAGGTACAGGAAAGATGATCCCCTTGTGACTTCTAGAACTAAGCAACTCTGCAAAACTCTGGTTTTCTAATGCAAGTTCTCAGTGGCACACAAGCTCACTGCTGTCCAAGTCAACTGAACCTTATCATGAAAGTACATAATATAACTAAGGAGGCTCTGTACCACACTCTACAACATAGCACATGCTACTGCCTATCCAAGAGTTTTCCTTTTCATTGTTGGTGCAGAATGCCACATGAGAACAAAAGGTTGGGACCAGCTAGGATACTGCTCTGTTCTACGCCTAAAGAATCTGATTCCTTTCATTGTTTTAATGGATTCACTAAATAGTCGCAATAAAAGTATCTTCCTTTTTCTGCCCCAAATTTATAGACGCTTATTTATTTATTTATTGGGATTTCTTATTTAGATTGGGTGCTGCAGACTTCCAGGTCATCTGCACCAGACAAAGACTTAACAGCTTGTGCCAGGCTGAGCAACAAAAGGCATCATGAAATCCTCCTCCCAGGCTTCTCATTTCCTCAGAGCTCTACAACAAAGGAAGTCCTTCACTGCACACACCCAGACCCTCAGCTCACCCATCATTACCCAAGTGACAGCTGCTTTTTGTCAGGACGGTGGGGGGGGAATACGGTGCTTGGTATTCCTGCATGACACTGATTTTACATGATGTGGAAGAATTTTGTTTGCATGGGAACAGGTCCAACAAAACACACAGAAAACGCCGTATCTGCCCCCAGACTGGGGCACAAAGATGCTGCATCCACATCTTTGCTGTCTGTCTTGATTTGGCCTTGGAGGATCCCCCACATTACCTTACTACTACAGTGAGAAGGAATAACAAATGTGGGGAAAACCTCAAGAGTTTTATTTATCCTAGCCTTAAGACCCAGAAAACAGCGTAAGCCCAAAAGGCTTCCCTCCATCTCCAGCTTGTACAACATCCCTCGTCACTGCTGATGAACTAACTACTCACAACAAACTACATCATGACAGTCCATAGCACTGGGGCTGGTGGGCTTTGGCAACAAGGAGACAAACTTACTCATGGAATCACAGAATGGGTGAGGCTGGAAAGGACCATGGGACGACATCTAGTCCAACCTCCCTGCTTAAGCAGGGTCAACTAAAGCACAAACCTCAGGATTGTGTCCAGACAGCTCTTGTATATCTCCCGGGAAGGAGACCCCACAACCTTTCTGGGCAACCTATTCCAATGTTCCTTCCCCCTCACAGTAAGGAAGTTCTTCCTCAGGTGGAACTGCCCACGTTTTGTTTTATGCCCACTGCCTCTCATCCTATCACCTGGCACCAATGAGAAGAGTCTGGCCCCATCCTCTTCACACCTTCCCTTCGGATACTTATAAACATTGATCAGATCCCCCAAGCCTTCTCTTCTCTAGGCTGAACATACCCAGCTTCATCAGCCCTTCCTCATAGCAGAGACGCTTCAGACCCTTAATCATTCTAGTAGCCCTTCGCTGGACTTGCTCCAGGAGCTCCATGTCTCTCTTGTACGTAACTGGTTGCCTTCCTAGCTTGATAAAGTGCCAAGCACACAACAAACACATGACAGCTCCCAGTCCAACTAGCCTTACCTTTATTTTTATACAAGCAAAGGAAAGGTTAAATTAGTGAGCATTCTGGTTTTCCTTTGGAGAACAAAAGCCACAAAAAATATGGTCTGGAAATACGACAAAAAAATTAATCCATACCCTTTGACACGAACGCCTTGAATCAAAATCAAGTTTTATCAGCGGAGGAACTGAAGAATAAAACTAGAGGAGCTGGGCTTCACAGTCTCTCCTAAGAGCCAGAAGTCGGTATCGCTGAGCACATTATTGGCTGGATAAATTTCTGTTGCTAACAGATCATTCTGATGAAATACCCTTGATAAAGAAATAAGGCTGAACACCACACAGGAGACAGCTGCCTGGGTAAAGCCCAGAGCAGCATCAAGACCATGAACTCCTGGAAGCCACATTCCTGACTAGTCATATTAAAGAAAGATCATTTAGTTTTAAGATAAGACAACAGGTAAATCAGAGCTTAACTTCACCATTTTTGAAAGCCTCAGGTGATTCACCAAGGAAACAGTCTTCAATTAATATGTTGTTCCATCTAATGAGATGGAACTGAGAAACAGAGGCGTGCACGGATTTAGACAGCAAATCACAAAAGTTATTCTGGTGATGTCAAACAAATTCATGGGTTACAGGAACACGAGATGCCAGATTGTTTGCTGCAAGAAAATAAAAAAGAAAAAGCACCAGTATTTTCCACAGGTGCAGATACAAAACATGGAGTATCAACAGTCTGGAGCAGTGAATATGTTATCCATATTGGTAAGTCATCCTCCCCATTTCACTGACTACAAAAAAGCACATTAATATATGTGTCCACATCTGCTGCATCTATGCCTTAAGAACAACTTTTCTCCTTGGTTTTAACAGATACTTGGTCAGGCACCCTACCTATGCCACCAGACAAGCAAAGCTGCTTTCAGACCTACCCTTGATTTTGAGCTATCTTTCTCCCTTCAAGGCCCTTTGTATCAGGTCCAAGAGATCCACCAAAGCGTTGACAACGGTGGAAACAGCACTTTTGTTTGAGCAGCAGCTTTTCATATGGGAAAGAGAAAACTATGGCAGACTTTCATCTCCTACACATGGCAGGAAACTCTAGTGTGATACTTCTTGCTCCTGGGACAGATGTGTATGGGACCTTGCATCCTCTTCTAGATCTGTGCTGCAGCACAGGGCACCTAGGAAATATCTCAATACAGATGCCCTTCCCTCCCCATCTCAAGGTCTACTTCAAAAGCCAGGGTCTTTAAAAAAACCTCTCTAAAGATAAAACACTGTAGTTGACCCAAACACAGAAGCAGCCTACCAACTTTTATATGGATGTTCTCCATAACACCTTCTAGCATTTGTTCCTCTCTGTGGCTCCCAGGTGTTCTTCCTTACTACTCCCTTCACTTATTCTCCTGTCCTCCTAGTCGGTGCCCTTTCCCATTTCCCTTGCACTGCAGTTCTTCTTGCTCCTGCAGAATCACTTTGCTTTCCTAAAGGAAATGCATCCCATGATACAAGGGCTGTGGCAAAAGGGTGAGCACTCTCAGGCAGAGCTCCTGTGGGGTTTTCTTTTTGCTAGTTTGGGTTTCTTGGATTTTCCTCTGATTTACAGTTTACTGAGGCATATAGAGGAAATCTAGGGATCAAACTATATACTCGATTACTCCAGGGTTGACTTAGCTAAATATCCCTGATTTTGAGTTTATCCAGAGTTAGACCAAGCTAAGTGAGGGCTCAATGTGCCCAGATGCATTTAATATACACCACCTCCTATATGGTGTAGATGTGGGTGCATATACCTGAAAATTTCATTCATGCAGAAGGAAAAAAGCGTTCAGCAGAGAAAATACTGTAGAAGTTAGATAACCATAAAATAAACACATTTGAGCTTTCATAGCCTACTCCAGACACACTAATTATTCAGTTTCGCTCTCTGAAGCTCCAAGTAGGGACTCTTTGTCTCTGCATCATGCCTGCCTCCTGACCTGGATCTTGGGTCAATACTGGTGTAGAAATAAAGAAATAAATGCTAAAGCAAGTAATTACTCTGAATATGTAGCAATAGTGGCACTTGACATTCAACACTGGCTAAACCTTTGCTGTGTCAATAAATAAATGGTTTGGGTTGTTCTGTGTTATGAGATAAAAAGATGAGTAATGGGCCATATTTTTGGTTCCCAAGTCCTAGAATTACACAGTTGGAATGAATTATTTTCCTGAAGTTTCTGGTGTGACACATCATATGAGCAATTGCTGCTTCTCTTGATTGTCGCACTAAAATAGTTCAGGTTGGGCTAAAGCGCACTGAAGCGGAGGTGAGGCGGAAGTGTAAGCACCACTCTTCTCTGCATAAGAGGAGATGGTGACACTGCTCACAGAATGAAGCAGCTAAAACATCATCGGCAAATACAGGCACGTGTCATCACCCAAACAAAGGCACGTGTTTGACACACACAGGCGGGGGATTTTTGCCAGCTAGTGTTTTAGAAGGGTTTGTGAATCTGCAAGAGAAGGCGGGGGGGTGGAGCTGACTGACACCAAACTGCACAAAAACAGTCACAGCAAGGCCCTGAGAAAAAGCAAGAAAAGACAGTTTAAAGGACCAGACGTTGCCTGGAGAAAGCTGGGAGCCAGGGTTTCGGTTGCTAGATCACTGCTACATCAGAGAAAATACATTTTGCATCCTCTTTGTGAACGGTCATGCCTTGACCTGGGAAACTGCAACAAAACATGGAAGGTGGCTCACACACAACCTGAGCATGCCCCAGCGTAGTGTCCATATATCCATGCAACAGGCACATTTCGAGTGGGGCACCTCCCAGATTTGAGCCCCAACAGCACGCTGA